CCATCCAGGAGATGGTGTCGCTCACCTCCCCGTCGGCCCCCGCCTCCTCCCGCACGGTGAGCGAGCGCCCGGGGAGACCCTCCCGCGCCACACCCCCGAATTTCCCCGCAGCATTGACTGCCTTCCCATCATTCCATCCTTTCCTCCCAACTTTTTATTAAGAGAACTCCAACGTAGAGAAAAACGCGCGCACCGACCGTGCCGGCGTCCAGTGCTGGCCAGCGCTCGGCCACACCTGCTGTGCGTGTGAGTGTGTGTGCGCATGCGTGTGTGTGTGTGCGCATGCGTGTGTGTGTTTCCTAGGGTGCTTGAATTTGGGGACATCCTAACAGGCGAGCCCCAAAATTACTTCAGCGGGTTTTTCCCTTATGACATGGGGAAAACCAGTCTTACCGTCCCATCCACTATTCGGCCTGTGTTCAAATCCCCGCCCCCACGACCGCAGGGACCGGCCCTGTTGGGCTCCTTGCCCTGCACCGGGCGCCGGGGCTGGGGGCGTCCTGCCCACCCCGGGGCGTCGCTGGGAGCAGCTGACGTCGCCGCCTTCTCAGCCATCACCACGCCAGTGTGAGGTCACACGCGTGACGTCATTGGCGGCCACAGGCCCGGCTCCTGTGGCGGGAGTCTGGCGCCCGGCGGGAGTTCAGTAGAGGGTCGCCGCTCTTCTCGGTCGTGGCTGGACCGTGTGCAGGCCGGGGGCTTCTCCCACCCCCATGACACCCGTGCCCCTCAGTCCACAGGGAACGTGTGGATGACGCACGAGGAGATGGAGTCGCTCACAGCCACGACCAAGCCTGTGAGTGCCCCCTGCCGGCGGCCGTGGGGGTGGCACTGACCCTCCTTGGGGGCGGGGGCGGGCACTGTGTCCGCGGCTGGCTGTCCGTCCGCCTGTTCCTCCGCCCTCCTCTGCCTGCCCCTAACCCGCCCCTTCTCTCCCCTCTTCCCACTAACGGGTCAGGAGACCAAGGAGATCAGCTGGGAGCAGGTAGGGGTGCGGGGCGGGCGCGGGCGCATGAGCAGGCCGTGCACGCTGCATGGACGCCCCTCCTCTACCAGCCTTGCCCCTCCCCCGAGTCCCACCATCCCCACGGGGGCGCTGACCCAGCTCTGCCTAGCGGATTTCTCTGTGGCCTGGGGGGGGGGCGGTGGATGTGCGAGCCCAGACTTCCATCATCAGCCCGGTGGGCCTGGCGTGCCGCTGCTGAGGGTTACAGGGGTCCTTGTCACTGCGGACACTAGAGGGCGCCGCTGAGCAGCCTGGTGGGCTGCTGGCTGGGGGCGGGGTCTATGTGGGACTGCGCCAGCGCACTGGCCACAGGGGGACGAGGAGATGGTGGCGACAGGCAGGCCAGACTGAACGAGGGTTTGGGGAGGCAGAGATGCACTTCCTCCTCCAGTGGGGACAGGCGCGGCCTCAGCCCGGGGTGGGGGCGGGGGCGCGAGGTCGGGCTGTGGCCTCTGTTTGCAGCTAGGGGAGGTGACGGTGGTCTCCGTTGGGTTGATCCAGAATCTTGTGGAAGATGGCTAGCCCAGCGCTCCTCAGCATGTGTGTGTGTGTGGGGGGTGCGGTGAAAATGCATTTACTGGCATTGCCGCAGGCGGGGCAGGGGTCTGCAACTCTGTAGCGGCAGGTGCTCCAGCCGAATGCTCTAAGGCTCCTGTGTTGGGGGTAGCTTGGCACAGGCCCGTTGTTCCGAGCAGTGTAAGGGTGCACTGGGGTGGGGGGGGACTGGACTGTGCCTTTTCGTACACACCTGGGTGCTGCGAGAGGCCTGACCGAGCCCTCACCTGCCTGTGGCCCCAGATCCTGGCTTACGGCGACATGAACCACGAGTGGGTGGGCAACGACTGGCTGCCCAGCCTGGGGCTGCCCCAGTACCGCAGCTACTTCATGGAGTCGCTGGTGGACGCGCGGATGTTGGACCACCTCAACAAGAAGGAGCTCAGGGGCCAGCTGAAGATGGTGGACAGCTTCCACAGGTGGGCACCGCCCGGGGCGCTCACGCGCGGGGGCGGGGCCGGCGTGGGGAACCCTAGGATTCTCTCTGGTCAGCTCTGGACACAGCCCGCTGGGTAACCCCACCCTCCTTCCGAGTTGGCTGACCGGAAGTGGCAGTCAGCAGGTCCCAGCAGTGAGCCCCCTGCCCCCCCAGAAGTCCACGCCAGTGGGGAGAGCGCGGTGGTCGCTGCCAGCGGCCTCGTGACCCCCCTCTCCCGCCCCGCAGGGTGAGTCTGCACTATGGGATCTTGTGTCTCAAACGGCTCAACTATGACCGGAAGGACCTGGAGCGGAGGAGGGAGGAGAGCCAGACCCAGATCCGGGGTGAGTCCCTCCTGGGCCGCGGGGGAGGGGGAGAGGAGGGAGGAGAGCCAGACCCAGATGCGGGGTGAGTCCCGCCCGGGCCGTGGGCGAGGGGGAGAGGAGGGAGGAGAGCCAGACCCAGATGCGGGGTGAGTCCCGTCCGGGCCGCGGGGGAGGGGGAGAAGAGGGAGGAGAGCCAGACCCAGATCCGGGGTGAGTCCCGCCCGGGCCGCGGGGGAGGGGGAGAGGAGGGAGGAGAGCCAGACCCAGATGCGTGGTGAGTCCCGCCCGGGCTGTGGGGGAGGCCGAGGCTGAGCCCCCTCCTGCCCCCCCAGACGTGATGGTGTGGTCCAATGAGCGAGTCATGGGCTGGGTGTCCGGGCTGGGCCTGAAGGAGTTCGCCACGAACCTCACGGAGAGCGGGGTGCACGGGGCGCTGCTCGCCCTGGACGAGACCTTCGACTACTCCGACCTGGCCCTGCTGCTGCAGATCCCCACGCAGAACGCGCAGGTGAGCGGCGGCGGGTCCCGCGGCACGCCCGGGGGCGTCCCCGCTCGCTGGCCGCCCGCCAACCCTCCTCCCGCACCCCTGCAGGCCCGGCAGCTCCTGGAGAAGGAGTTCAGCAACCTCATCTCCTTAGGCACAGACAGACGGCTGGACGAGGTGGGCGCCAGGGGCGGGGCCGGAGGAGGCGCGGCCCGCCGAGGGGCGGGGCCAGCGCCGGGCCCCAGCCCCTCACCCGGGGCTGGCTCCTCTACCTAGGACAGCGCCAAGTCTTTCAGCCGCTCGCCGTCCTGGCGGAAGATGTTCCGGGAGAAGGACCTCCGAGGGGTCACCCCCGACTCGGCGGAGATGCTGCCCCCCAACTTTCGTTCAGCTGCAGCTGGAGCCCTGGGCTCGCCGGGGCTCCCTCTCCGGAAGCTGCAGCCGGAAGGTGGGGGGGTCTCCCCAGGGCCGCAGCCTCTGCTCCCACCCCCTTCCCCAGGGTGGGAGATGGACTGACTTAACCCCGGGCCCTGGAAGAGCCACCCCTGGCAAGTGGGCCGCCCCACAGTCCAGCTCCCCCACGACCCCTTCCAGGGTGCGAGATGAGCCAGCCCGGTCCCCTCGGCGCCTCCCTGGAGCCAGGGTCCGCGGGGAAGGCCAGGGCACGGGGTGGGCTCAGGCGACGTCCTGATACGCAGAGGGGGAGCCAAGGGAGGGCTCAAGAGGCCCGGGGGTGCTCGGGCAGGGGGCGCTCAGAGGCCTGGAGGGGTGCTGGGTGGGGGGGACACTCAGAGGCTGTGGGGGGTGCTGGGGTGGGGGTGCTCAGAGGCCTGGAGGGGTGCTGGGTGGGGGGACACTCAGAGGCCAGGGGGCTGGGCGGGGGACGCTCAGAGGCTGTGGGGGGTGCTGGGGCGGGGGGGCGCTCAGGGGCCTGGAGGGGTGCTGGGTGGGGGCCGCTCAGAGGCTGTGGGGGTGCTCAGAGGCCTGGAGGGGTGCTGGGTGGGGGGACACTCAGAGGCCCGGGGGGCTGGGCGGGGGACGCTCAGAGGCTGTGGGGGGTGCTGGGGCGGGGGGCGCTCAGGGGCCTAGAGGGGTGCTGGGTTGGGGGGACAATCAGAGGCCGGGGGGCTGGGCGCGGGGCGCTCCTGGCTGAGCCGCCGCCGCCCTCCCTCCAGGCCAGACCTCCGGGAGCTCCCGGGCCGACGGCGTTTCGGTGCGGACCTACTCCTGCTAGTGTGGGGCTGCAGGTGAGGACGGCTCCGGGCGGTCTGGGGGCGCGGGGCGCGGCTCAGCGGGCCCCCCTGCTCTGCACACTGCCCGGCGTCGACGCAGGCGACCGCAGCCGGATGGAAGAGGCCGCTCCCGCTCCGGCCTGCAGCGCGCGCTCGCCGGGGACGGCGGGCGGGACCATCTGCGCGGACCGGGGGGGGGGCCGCGCGTCCCCGCCTCGCAGATGGACTGGGCCTGGACCCAACCACGGGAGCCGGACTGAGGGGGGGAGAAGAGGGCAGGAAGAGCTCCCGGCCGACTTCCGCCCCCCTTTTGTCTACTTTGTAACTTATCGATCCGTTTCCGACGGGAGACAGGTGCCCTCTCGCGCAGGGGGGCGGGGCTTCCCTCCCGGGCCGCATGCAGGGCGCGGCCGCCCCCTCCCCTCTTCCCTGCCCAGGTCGCGGGGCCCAGGTCTTCCTTCTTCGTCCGAAAGGAGGGGAGGGGGACTCGCTGCTACAAGCCTCGCCCCCCGTGCCACTCAGCCCCGCCCCGCCACGGCCGGCCGCCGGCCCCCAGGGTCCTCTGCGGGCGGGGTCTCCTTCCCCTCCCACCTCCCCGTGTCTCGTGTCCCCGGGGCCACCCCGCCCCCCGTGCTGTGGCCGTGTCCGTGCCCCGGGGGCGGGGGGCTCCGGGGTTTGCATGGGAGAATCCTCTACCCGCGATGTCGCTGGGGGACGCGGGCCGCTGGGGGAGCCCTCGCCCCCGACCCTCGGTCGGCCTCGCGCCCCTGCGGCCACTCAGTGCTCACGGGTAAAGAGAACCGTTTCAAAAAGCTTGCGTGTTGACTGATTTGGGGGCAGGGGGTGAGCGAGCGAGCGAGCCAAGCCGCCGCCTCGGGGCCCCAGGGGTTCAGGGCCCGTGTCCCGCAGGCCCCCGAGCCCGGCGACCCCCACCCCCGTTGCTCGCGGTCCCGAGAATCCAAAGCCGGCTCCCGGCCGCGAGGTTTCGGGGCGCGCGTTTATTCAGGGGGACAAATCCGGCTCGCCGTCCCGGGAGGCCTCCCTGCGGCGCGGCCAGCTCACGGCTCCGGCGTCTCCAGCATGTCCGCCAGGGCCCTGCGGAGGAGGCAGGACGCAGGCCACTCAGAAGCCGGGGAGGGAGGCCCGGGCCGGGCTCGGCGCCCCCGGCTCCCCGCACTTACTTGTATAGGGACGAGGAGAAGTAGTCGACGTAGCTTCCTGCGGGGCAGCAGAGAGCGCGCAGGGGCGCGGGGTTAGGGCCGCCCCCGCCGCTCAATCGGAGCCCCTCCCCTCCCAGCCCCTCGAGGCCCCGCCCCTTCCCCGGTTGGGGGCGTTCCCCTTCTCTGGTGGCCCCGCCCCTGTTATAGGCCCGCCCCGCAAGCTTCGCAGCGTATTTTTTCCCCTTGGCTTCAGCAACCCCTCCCGGATTCCTCCCGTGCAAGGCGCGCCGCATCCGAGGGCTGGCCACCTGCCCACCCTACCTGCGGTAGGTTCACCTTGCGGGGGCCCCGCCCTTGCTCACCTGGCGTGCAGACAGTTTCACAGACAAGCGGGCAGAGGTAGCAGAACTGACAGTGCTGGGGGCGGGGACGAGGAGAGAGTGAGCAGGAGGGCGTGGCGGGGGCGGAGCCTGAGGCTAGGTCGCGATGAAGGGGTGGGGTCAGGGCTGCGTGGGGGGCGTGGCTTTGGGGTTGGAGACCAGGGTTAGGGGCGGGAGAGCGGTGCTGAGATGGCCCGGGCCAGGGTCAGGGTCATCAGGGGTCAGGGTCAGGGGTCAGGGTCGGGTCAGGCCTGGCGCCTTCACCTGGCACTGGTCGCAGTGCTCGCCCATGCTGTCCTCGTCACAGTGACAGTGCTCGCATTCAGTGCAGCGCTGGGGGCCAGAGCAGCCTGGTTAGACGGAAGGCCCAGCCCCGCTTGGCAGACAGACCCTGCCCCCTTGTAACCTCCAGCACTGACCGCACCGTCTTTGCCTCAAAGCGCTCCCCTGCCCCCCGTCACCTACCCCAGGGCGACCGGGTCCCCTGGGCACTGTAGCTGGAACTGTGGTCCCCCCCCCAGCTAGCCAGCCCTCAGACTGTCCCTCCTGCAGGACCCGGCCCCTCCCCCACGCCCCTCGGTGGGACCCAGGCCTCCTCCCCGGGTTCCTGGCCTGCGCTCTCTCCCCGGTGTGACCCCTCAGTATCTTCTACCCCGGAGCTGCCCCGCCCCTCCCTCGCTGGACCCCAGGGCCCCTGGGCTGGCGACCCACGTTGCAGAAGGTGCAGTAGCCACACAGGGACCCTTGCTGGTAGTTGCCGTACTCCTGGGTGTCCTCTGGCCCTGTGGGGACAGGAGGGACACAGTGACCCAGCTGCCTTGGCTCCCGCCCGTCCCACGGGGCCGGCCACCTACCTGTGTCTTCAGCACTCTCCTCACTGGAGGCCCCTCCAGCTGCCTCCCTCCCGGACAGTGGGTTGGGGATGATGGTGAAGGGGAGCCGGCCTTCCTCCTCCTCCTCCTCCTCCTCCTCCTCCTCCTCCTCCCTGTGGTGGCGTAGTGGGGCCTGAACCTTAGCGCTCTCTCCTCTCCTGTCCTCTTCCTCCTGGTCTTCCTGGCTCAGGCTGCGGCCATGGCCTTCCTCCTCATCTTCCTCGTCTTCCAGGCTGTGGTGGTGGGTGCCTTTCTGCTCCTCCTCCTCCTCAGAGCCGCCCCTCTTCACACGGCTTCCGTCCTTGACCCCCGCGGGTCCCGGGGACTCAGGGCCAACCTCCTCTTTCAGGGACCCTCTGTGATGATGTACAGTGTCTTCCGGGGGGTGGCCTTGCTGCCTGGGGCTGGAGGCTGGATGGCCACGCTCAGCAGAGGTGTCCGTGTCTCCCATCCTGTGCTGGTGGTGGCCGGGGACTTCCGTCTGATGCTCCTCTGCGTGGCCCTCTCTGCTCCTGTGGCCAGGGGGTGGGTGGCTTGCAACGTGGTGGCCAGCCTTGACCGTGAGCTCCTCCTCCCCCCCTTCCTCCTCCCCTCCGGGGCCGTGGTGGGCGTGTCTGGGAACCTGGTGCCAGTGGTCGGTGGACACACCCTCTTCTTCACCTTCCTTGTCTCCGTGGCCTTGGTGCCCGTGGTCGGGGACGTGATGATGGTGCTCATCCGAGGTCACCTCAGCCTCTTCTTTCCCGTGGCCTTGGTGCCTGTGGGCCTGGTGCCCATTCTCAGTGCTGTCATCACCATCATCATCATCACCACCATCATCTTCCTCATGGCCTCGGTGCCCACGGTGAGGGACGTGATGGTGTTCACCTTCGTCATCATCATCTTCATCTTCTTCCTCTCCGTGGCCCCGGTGCCTGTGGGCCTGGTGACGGTCGCTCTCAGTAGAGTCACCTTCGTCATCATCTTCCTCATCCTCTTCCTCTCTGTGGCCCCGGTGCCTGTGGGCCTGGTGATGGTCGCTCTCAGTAGAGTCGCCTTCGTCATCATCATCTTCATCCTCTTCCTCTCTGTGGCCCCGGTGCCTGTGGGCCTGGTGACGGTCACTCTCAGTAGAGTCGCCTTCGTCATCATCATCTTCATCCTCTTCCTCTCTGTGGCCCCGGTGCCTGTGGGCCTGGTGACGGTCACTCTCAGTAGAGTCGCCTTCGTCATCATCATCTTCATCCTCTTCCTCTCTGTGGCCCCGGTGCCTGTGGGCCTGGTGACGGTCACTCTCAGTAGAGTCGCCTTCGTCATCATCATCATCGTCATCCTCTTCCTCTCTGTGGCCCCGGTGCCTGTGGGCCTGGTGACGGTCACTCTCAGTAGAGTCACCTTCGTCATCATCATCTTCATCCTCTTCCTCTCTGTGGCCCCGGTGCCTGTGGGCCTGGTGACGGTCGCTTTCAGTAGAGTCACCTTCGTCATCATCATCTTCCTCATCCTCTTCCTCTTCGTGGCCCCGGTGCCTGTGGGCCTGGTGATGGTCGCTCTCAGTAGAGTCGCCTTCGTCATCATCATCATCTTCATCTTCTTCCTCTCTGTGGCCCCGGTGCCTGTGGGCCTGGTGACGGTCGCTCTCAGTAGAGTCATCATCCTCGTCTTCCTCATCTTCCTTCCCGTGGCCCCGGTGCCTGTGCTCTGGGGAGACCTCCTCCTCCTCCTCCTCTTCTTCACCCTCTTCCTCCCCCCCGTGGCCTCGGGGTGCACGCCTGAGGACATGGCGGGGACGCTCGCTGGAGATGACATCCTCGTCCTCCTCTTCGTGGCCGTGGCCGTGGCTGCCATGCTCGGCTAGGTCTTCCGCGCCTGCCTCGCCGTGGCCTCCATGCCCGGGGGCCTGTCGAGCCTGCTCCCTGTGGACACCCTCCTCAGAGACACTCTCGTCTCCAGCCTCAGGGCTGTGATACCTGTGTCCTTGGGGTTGGTGGCCGTATTCCCTGGAGACTTCGTCGTCCGTCTCTCCGTGGTCTCTGTGGCTCCAGAAGTGATGTCCGTTCTCCATGGACACGTCCTCATTCTCCTCCCCAGGGCTTCGGTGGCTGTGGCCATGGTGGCCAAGCCCGGCCGCCGCCGCCTCCCCTGAGGGCCCTGGGGCGCCTGCATTGTTGATCCAGGTGCTGGGGCCCAGCCCAGCCCCTCTCAGCTGCTGGGTGACGGCAGGAGGGAGGAGCAGGCTGGCCACAGCGGCCCAGAGGAGACAAGTGTGCAGCCACGGTCCCCGGCAGCCCATGGGGACAGACGGCACAGCGGCCCCTGGGGTGGCTCCAGCGACCTGACGGCTGTGCGGGTGAATGCTGGGGTCCTTGTCCCCTTTCTGGTCCGATTCTTGCTTTCCCTCTGCGTCTCTCCCCCACGCTGGCTCTCACCGCCTCTGCCCTTCTGCCTTCTGTGGCTCCCAGACACCCCTCTGAGGCTGGCTCAGGAGCCCCCTGACCTCCCTCTCGGGCCCTCCCTCCCCACTCCCCAGCCAATAGGGTCTCTCTCCTCCCCTCTCTGCGGCTAAATTTACTCTCGGCCCTGAGTTATTCCTGGTCAGCCCCCGCCTGCCCCTCCCCTGCTGCTCTTCCCCCTCCAAGCTGGGGAGGGGGTGGGAGAAGGGGTCTCTTCCTGGTCAGGAGAGGGGACAGGGACTTGACATTGGACTGACAAGTGCCTGGTGTTTGGCATGAGCACCAAGTCAAATTGGGGGAGCCTGGAGAACTTTGGAGGGTAGGAGAGACTTAGCAGAGGGGAACCCCAGCCATGGAAAGATTAGGGGCATGCATCGTGGGGTTTCCAGACAGAATGGGGTCCTTTGGGATCATGGGACGGGATGAGAGGAACCTGCCCCAACACACACACACACACACACACACACACGTCCTGTCTCTGGACTTCAGGTCTGGGGGCAGGGGACCTAGAGGCCAGGGCTATAAATACAGCCGGGGCGGGAGGGGGTTCAGGTTACCGAGGCCCCAGCTGTCCTCATCAGACAGAGCTGGCGGATGGCTGGCGCCCCCCCCCCCCGCTGTCAGCCGGCGTCTCCCCCTCACCTGTCACCAGTGCCCTTGCCCGCTGGGGCTCCATGCACCGGCATGGGTGCCCCTTCTTCATTTCTGTCTCCTGGTCTCTGTGCCCCCACCACAGGGTCCCGACCCCCTGTCACTCTGAGTGTCCCCCTCCCACAATGTACCTCTCCCCAAATTTCAGTTCTGCCTTTTTGAAATCTGACTCCAGTCTCTGGGTACCCCTCCCCTTCGGACTCTGGCCCCCACCTGTGTCACTGGGGTCAGTGGCCCCTCCCTCATCTCTGGGATGCCTCCTGTCGCCTCCTCTGTGATCTTGTCACTCTGGCCCTGATGGTTGCCCCGCCACCCACACCCGCCAGCCCCGGCCTCTGCGCCCTGCGCGCTGCGGTCCCCCTCGTCTCCCGGTGCCGGGCCTCGGGCCGCCCTCTCCCCGCCTCCCGCTGACGTCTCCGCCCGCCCCGCCCAGGCTGGGCCGGGAGGTGGCGGATCCGGTTTGTCCGGGGCGAGTCGGGAGCGGGGTGCAGAGCGGTTGTGGCAGCCCCAGGGCGGCCGGGCTGCGCGGCGGCATGGTGGGTTCGGAGAAGGAGCAGGTACGGCGCGGAGCCCCGGGGCGGAGCGCACGCGGGGCGGGGACGCCTCCCGGCTCCCGGACGCGGGGCGCTGGGGACCCAGGCTCTCAGGGTGGGGCAGGTTCTCGGGTCCTGGACTCCCGTGTCGGGGTGGGGCCCGCGGTGAGGGACTCGGCGCCCCCCGGGGACCAGCCCCGGGTCCCCCTTACCCGACGCCCCCACTCCGCCTTCTGCTCCGGTCCTCAGAGCTGGATCCCCAAGATCTTTAAGAAGAAGACGTGTACGACATTCATAGCGGACCCCGAAGACCCCGGGTGAGCTAGCGGGCCGACCCGGGCATCCCCGGCCCTCCGGCCCCGCCCTGGCCCCGCCCCCGCCCCTATCCGGGCGCCTAGGACCCTCCCAAGGGCGTTCCTGCGGCGCCGTGGCTGACCGGGGCCCGGGTCCGCCGAGACGCCTCCGACTCCCCTGGCCGGGGCTGGGGTCCCTGCGCGCCAGGGCTGGGTTCTGTTTCTCTTCTTCCTGGGCCTCTCCCTGGTCGCCGTCTCTCCGTGTCACTTTGTGTCTCCGCTGGGTCGTTCCCAGGGACGCTCGCTCGGCAGAATTCAGCGGCTGGCCGGGGTTCCAATTTCACACGTGCTGTGTGGCTGCGGGGCAGGCGTTTTCCCTCTCTGGGCCGAGTTTGTCACCCGGGTAGGCCCTCCCGCCTGGGCTCTTGTGAGAATTAAACAAGTTAATGCTTTTATTGTTATTTTTTCTGGGCCAGCGCCCAGCCCAGGCTGTTAGCACTGGAAGTGTGCAGCTCCCACTGGGAGGGAGTAGTTACCGCACCCTGCGGGTGCCATCCTAGCCTGGACAGCGTGGTTGCCGACCGACCTATTGGCCTTCAGCGATGGTCTCTTAGGGGCTGTGGGCTCCTCTGTGGTTTGCAGCATGGTCCTTGGGGGCGTTCCGCATCCAGTGTGCTTGGCTGTGCGTGCTGTGTGGCCGGCAGCCCTCGTGCAGGTGCGCTAGGCACGGATGCTGCAAAACCCATGATGGTTGGGAGCAGCGTGTGGTCAGGAGAGGCTGCGGCTGGTGGCCAGAGGCCAACGAGGCAGAGGGTGGACTGGAGTAACACAGGAAGTGGAGCCTGCCAGGGACACCCTGGGCCCCGGGAGAGCTGAGGGGGAGGCGCCTGGCTAAGACTTAAGAGGGGACGCGGGGTGTCGCTGGAAGAGGAGCTGGGGCTGGAGCGAGCTGCGTGGCAGTGACTCTGGGGTGGGAACAGCGTGCAAAGTCCTCCTTAATGACAGAGCGAAGTTCAGGTGCAAGGAGCTCGCTCACCGAAGAGGAAGCCGCGCAGAGGAGGGCAGGGCCTCAGAGCCCACCCTGGAGGCGCTGGGACCCGGCCCTGGGGCGTTGGGTGCCATAGAAAGGGTGGGGCCGTCGCTGGGTGTGGAACAGTCCTGGGGGAGCTGTGTGAGGATGGGCGTGAGCTCGGACGCCAGGGGCAAAGCTGGGGCAGGGGTCTAAGTGGGAGGGGGAGAGGCCTGAGCCAGGCTAGCCTGGGGGATGGGGCAAAGGATGAGGGTGGGAGGGTGGAGCTTGGGGGCGACAGGTGTGGGGAGAGTGAGGACTGGGGGAGGAGGGTGTGCATGCATGGCCTGGTGCCAGGGGCTTCCTGCTTGGGGCGGGGTCATAGGTGAGGCCTGGGGGGACCAGGGGCAGGTGCAACCTTGGTCTGGCCTCAGGGCAAGACGTCTGGGATCAGGAGGCCGGAGCTGCCTGGCCGAGGAACTGGAAGTGGGTGAGGAGTCGCAGGAAGCAGGAGACAGTGGGGCAGGGTGCGCTCAGGGAGGCTGGACTCAGCTCGGAGGCTGGTTTTGATTTGTCGTTTTCTTTCGCAAAGAAGGATGTTTTCACACACCTGCCTCCCAAGGCCTCCGGCTAAATACGGGCTTCAGATCCCAGCCGACTTCCTCCCGTTAGGTGTGAGCTGGGCCCCGGGCCTGGAGCCTGTGAGCCGGGCAGGGAAGCCACCTGGGCCTCCTCTGGGGAGCCGAAAAAAGGCAGAGCGGCTGGGGTGGGGGGCGGGAGGAGGGAGGGGGAGGAGGAGGAGGGAGGGGGAGGAGGAGGAAGAGGAGGAGGAGGAGGCGGCGGCAGCGGCGGTGGGGGAGGCCAGTGGAGCCGGCTGACCCTGCCAGGGATCGCGCGCAGCCTTTGAGCTGTGGCCAGTGCCACGTGCGCCTCCATCAGATGAGACCTCAATAGGGGTATTGTGTTTGGGGCCACACAGGTAACCGCTGATCTTGCTGGGAACAGTTTCGGTTTCGGTGGCCGCAAAGAGGAGAGGGGGCGAAGAGGAGAGAGGGCTGTCCACCAAGACATGCCATGTCCAGTATGGCAGCCCTCGCCACGCGTGGTGCCCGGGCGCTTGAAATGTGGCCCTGGGACTGATGAGCTGAGGGTTTTTTTTAATTTAAAGATGTATTTATTTTATTTGAAAGAGTTATAGAGAAGGAGACACACACACACACACACACACACACAAAGAGAGAGAGAGAGAAAGAGAGAGAGAGAGGTCTCCTATCCTCTGACTCACTCCCAAATGGCCACAACAGCCAGGGCTGGACCAGGCCAGAGCCAGGAGCCAGGAGCTTCATCCAGGCCTCCAACCTGGGTGCAGAAGCCCAAGCACTGGGGCCATCTTCCACTGCTTTTCCCAAGCCATAGCAGGGAGCTGGGTGGGAAGTGGAGCAGCCAGGATTCGAACCTGCGCCCATACGGGATGCCGGCACTGCAGGCAGAAGCTTAACCTGCTGCGCCACAGCGCCGGCCCTGGAGCTGAGTTTTTTATTTGATTTCACATCAGTTTGTTAGAGCCTCAGGAGCCCCTTGAGTGTAAGGAATCCCGCGTGGGCAGGAACTGGTGGGTGGACAGTGCAGGCCCTGACCATTCCTTGATAAAGTCTTGCTGCATGTGTGGACATAGCTGGAGGGGACCATGGGGGTGCTGTCCAAGGATGGGGTTGGGGTGGGTGAAAGGGTAGTGTGGGTAAACTGAGGCACGCCCTGGCGTCAGAAGGGGAGTGCTGCGTCCCGGGGCCGGGAGCTCACGCTGTGCGGATGTGGCGGCCGCCACTCCGGCATGCGACGTCTGCACGACTTTTGCCAAACCCCCATGGGGGGGGGACCTTCAAAAAGCTCATGGGAAATGGAATTTAAGAAGTTCAGTGTGTTTGGCGCAAAAATATTTTGGGATCCACGCAGCTTCTTCGTGGTCTGTGTTTCCACGCAGTCCCCTCGCGGCATCTGGCCGTCGTTCCCGAAATCGGCCCTGGCTCCGGCACATTCAGTCCCGCTCGCTGTCTGAACTCTTTCTGGATTCAGGGACCAAGGGGCTTTGATACTTTTTTTTTTTTTTTTAAAGATTTACTTATTTGAAAGAGTTACAGTGAGGGAAGGAGAGAGAGAGAGAGAGAGAGAGAGAGAGAGAGAGAGAGAGAGAGAGATCACTCCCCAGATGGCCACAACGGCTGGAGCTGTGCTGATCCAAAGCCTGGAGCCAGGAGCTCATTCCAGGTCTCCCATACAAGTGCAGGGGCCCAAGCACTTGGGCCATCATCTGCTGCTTTCCCGGGTGCGTTAGCAGGGAGCTGGATCGGACATGGAGCAGCCGGGACTCGAACCGGCGCTGATGGGGACGCTTGTGTCACAGGCGGCGGCTTTACCCACTGGGCCACAGCGCCGGCCCCAGGGTCCACTGCCCACGGGTCCTTCATTCCCTCAGGCCCCTGTTCTCGTTCTTTGCAACTCCGATGCCGGTCACACATAGCAGCACGGGCAGCGTGCACAGATTTAGGGGGGAAGGTGTTTTCCACAGGAGAACCATAAATGGAAAGCCCGTTGCATTTGCGAGTAACAAAAGCTTAGGCCAGGACGGATTCTGGCAGAGCCCTCTCCTGGGCTGCACCAGGGGACCCGAGCAAGGAGCGGTGCCCTCCCTGTGCTGTTCAAGGGTATTTAAAGCTCAGAGGCGGCTCCGGCTGGGACTGGTATGCAGCTCCCTGCAGAAAACCTCGTCTTTGTGTTAGGTCTTGGCGCCTCGTGGTTGCCTTTGGGCTCAGAGAGGTGAAGCCACTTGCCTGAAGCCGCACCGCTGCCCCAGCCTCTGGCAAGGAGCAGTTTCAGTCCCTCTCTGCTCTCTGCTGGGGCTCGCCGGGGCCAGTGTGGCTTCCCTCTGGGGAAGGGGACGGACAGGGCCCCAGGGTGGCCGCTGGTCCGTGTAGACAGCTTCCTGTTCAACTGTGTGGACACTTCTCTGGATGCTGGGGGCCGGTGGGGACACCCCCGGCTCACGCTCCCGCCCTCACACCCCCAGAGGGACTCTGTGCCAGTGCGGCCGCCCCCGGAGCGCCCACCCCTCCGTGGCCGTGGAAGATGCCTTCGGGGCAGCCGTGGTGACCGAGTGGGACAGTGACGTGCACACCACGGAGAAGCCCACAGATGCCTTCGGGGACCTGGACTTCATGGGCGCTGGTCGCAATCCCAGCAACGTGAGGCCTGCGTGTCTTGGGGGTGGCTTTGGGGGTGTGCAGCATGACTCAGGGATCCCTGGGCCAGGATCTGGGCTGTCCCAGCTGGGCTTTGCATCTTCCTATGCATCTGTCCCATCCCCCCTGCTCTGGGTCTCTGTCGCCCTCTCTCTCTGGGTGTCTGTCCCCTCTCTCTGGGTCTCTGTCCCCTCTCTGGGTCTCTGTCCCCTCTCTCTGGGTCTCTGTCCCCTCTCTCTCTGGGTCTCTGCCCCCCACCCGGGTCTCTGTCCCCTCTCTGGGTCTCTGTCCCCTCTCTCTGGGTCTCTGTCCCCTCTCTCTCTGGGTCTCTGTCCTCTCTCTCTGGGTCTCTGTCCCCTCTCTCTGGGTCTCTGTCCCCTCTCTCTCTGGGTCTCTGTCCTCTCTCTGGGTCTCTGCCCCTCTCTCTGGGTCTCTGTCCCCTCTCTCTCTGGCTCTCTGTCCTCTCTCTCTCTGGGTCTCTGTCCCCTCTCTCTGGGTCTCTGTCCCCTCTCTCTCTGGGTCTCTGTCCCCTCTCTCTGGGTCTCTGTCCTCTCTCTGGGTCTCTGTCTCCTCTCTCTGGGTCTCTGTCTCCTCTCTCTGGTCTCTGTCCCCTCTCTCTGGGTCTCTGTCCCCTCTCTCTGGGTCTCTGTCCCCTCTCTCTGGGTTTCTGCCCCATCTCTCTGTGTCTCTGTCCTCTCTCTCTGGGTCTCTGTCCCCTCTCTCTGGGCCTCTATCCTCTCTCTCTGGGCCTCTGTCCTCTCTCTCTGGGTGTCTGTCCCCTCTCTCTGGGTCTCTGTCCTCTCTCTGGGTCTCTGTCCCCTCTCTCTGGGTCTCTGTCCCCCCTCTCTCTGGGTCTCTGTCCCCTCTCTCCCTAGGTCTCTGTCCCCCCATCTCTGGGTCTCTGTCCCCTCTCTCTGGGTCTCTGTCCCTTTCTGGGTCTCTGTCCCCTACCCCTGCCGGGTCTCTATCCCCCCCACTCTGGGTATCTGTGTCCTCTCTGTGGGGGTTCTGTCCCCCATCTCCCTGGGTCTCTTTGCCCCTCCCCGTGACCCTACTCCTGTGTCCCCAGTTCCTCCGGCTCTCCGACCGCACAGACCCAGCTACAGTCTACAGTCTGGTCACTCGCACGTGGGGCTTCCGTGCGCCGAACCTGGTGGTGTCAGTGCTGGGGGGCTCGGAGGGCTCCATCCTCCAGACCTGGCTACAGGACCTGCTGCGCCGCGGGCTGGTGCGGGCCGCCCAGAGCACAGGTGAGCGGTGCTGGAGGGGGCTGCCTGGGCCCGGCCGCTACTTCCCCACTTTGCCAGTCTTAACCTGACTTCTCTGTCTGCTCATCCTGTGTAGGGGCCTGGATCGTCACGGGCGGGCTGCACACGGGCATCGGCCGGCATGTGGGCGTGGCTGTGCGGGACCACCAGACGGCCAGCACGGGGGGCTCCAAAGTGGTGGCCATGGGCGTGGCCCCCTGGGGCGTGGTCCGGAATAGAAACACCCTCACCAACCCCAAGGTGCATCCCAGGGCCTTGGAAAAGGAACGGTCTGAGGGAGGAGGGGACGAGGGTCTGGACTCCAGGGTCTGAGGGAGGAGGGGCCTGGGTCTGAGGGAGGAGGGGCCTGGGTCTGAGGGAGGAGGGGCCTGTGTCTGTGGGCTGACCCCACGGAAAGGCCATTTGTCCCCCAGGGCTCGTTCCCCGCGCGGTACCGGTGGCGCGGCGACCCCGAGGACGGGGTTGAGTTCCCCCTGGACTACAACTACTCGGCCTTCTTCCTGGTGGACGACGGCACCCACGGCCGCATGGGCGGCGAGAACCGCTTCCGGCTGCGCTTCGAGTCCTACGTGGCGCAGCAGAAGACCGGCCTGGGAGGTCAGTGGCCGCTCCCTCTGCCTTTCAAATAAATAAAAAGCCAATCAGTTAATCTTTTTTAAAAAAGACAAGGGCAAAAAATAAGACAGAAGCAAATGCACGATGGGCAGAAGCAGAGAGACCCAAACTGACCTCCTTGTGAACATTCTCTGCTTTTTATTTTTTATCTCAAAATTTTTATTATTTTTGTTGTTTCCTGTTTTTAATCTTTTGAAGATTGTTATGACCTCTTTTCTTTTTCTTTTTTCTTTTTGTGTGTTTTAAAAACCTACTTAATTCTCACCCGTTATTTAGCTTGTAGGCAACCTTAATCTTATTTTTTAAATTATCCTGCGGGGTGGGCGTTGTGGTGCAGGGGGTTAAGTCTCCGACTGGGGCTCTGAGCTGCGTTCCTCTGCTTCCGATCCGGCTTCCTGCTGGTGCGCACCCTGGGAGGCAGAAGCGATGGTTCAGGAACTGGGGTCTCTGCCAACCGCGTGCGGGACCTGGTGGAGCTCCTGGCATCCGGCTTCGCTTGGCCCAACCTTTTTCTTGTAAAAAGATTTTTAAAATTTTTATTTGAAAGGTAGAGAGAGAGGGAGAGACAGACAGGGGGAGATCTTCCATCTGCTCGTTCACTCCCCAAATGGTTGCAATGGCCAGAGCTGGGCGGGGCTGAAGCCTGGGGCCTGGAACCCCATCTGGGTCTCCCACGTGGGTGGCAGGGGCCCACGCACTGGAGCCATTGCCTGCTGCTTCCCAGGGTGTGCACCAGCAGGAAGCTGGATCAGAAGCAGCGTAGCTGGGACTCAGCCCAATATGGATGCTGGCGTCGCAAGCAACAGCTTAACCCACTGTGCCACGGTGCCGAGCCCCTGGCCCAAAACTTGAGCGTACAGAGGTTCGTCCAGTACGACCGGCCTTGGTGGGTGAGCAGCCCCGTGGACGTCGGCGTCGCTGCACAGCCGAGGCCAGCGCCATACCATGGGGAATCCCCTTCGCTCCCCCAGCGCCCGGCGGCACCCATCTCCGTCCTTAGCGGGTCTTGGCCAGAGGTGGTGTAAACGCAGTAACATGGGTGTGACCTTGGCATCGGCTCCCCCCACCACCCAGGGTGCCCGGCAGCGGCAGGATGTGCCCAGGGGGCCAAAGCAAAACAGAAAAGGGGAATGAGCGAAAGTCAGTGTCTTCCCTTCCTGGTTCCAGCCACCTCTTCTGGGGGGTCGGTGTTTCCCAGGTGGAGTTGGTTCACCCTTTCTTCCTTTCTTAAGTTGAAAGGCACAGTTGCAGAGAGAACGAGGGAGAGAGAGAGAGGGGTCTTCCATCCACTGGTTCACTCCCCCGAGTGGCCGTGATGGCCGGGACGGAACCAGCTGGGCCAACGCAAGAGCCTGGGCTGCCTGCTGGGTCTCTCAGGTACCTGAGCTGCCACTGCTGCCTCCCAGGGTGCGTGCGAGCAGGAAGCTGGATGAGAAGCGGAGTCGGGACTTGAACCCAGGCCCTCTGATTTAGGATGTAGGCGTCCCAAGTTTCACTTTTTTTTAAAAAAAAGATTTATTTTGGGGCTGGTGCTGTGGTGTAGTGGGTAAAGCCCCCGCCTTCAGTGCCAGCATCCCATATGGGCGCTGGTTCGAGCCCTGGCTGCTCCACTTCCGATCCAGCTCTCTGCTGTGGCCTGGGAAAGCAGTGGAGGACAGCCCAAGTCCTTGGGCCCCTGCACCCGCGTGGGAAACCCAGAAGAAGCTCCTGGCTCCTGGCTTCTGGCTTCAGATCAGCACAGCTCTGGTGGTTGCAGCCATCTGGGGAGTGAGCCAGCAGATGGAAGATCTCTCTCTCTCTCTCTCTCTCTCTCTGCCTCTGCTTCTCTGTAGCTCTGCCTTTCAAATAAATAAATCTTAACAGATCTATAAAAAAAGATTTATTTCATTTTATTTGAAAGGCAGAATTATAGGGAGAGAGAGGGAGATATATTTATAGTGAGATCTTCCATCTGTTGGTTCACTCTCTCAATGGCCATAATGGCCAGGCCAAAGCCAGGAGCCTGGAACTCCATCCGGGTCCCCCGCGCAGGTGCAGGGCCTCAACCACTTGAGTTGTCTTCTGCTGCTTTCCCTGGTGCATCAGCAGGGAGCTGGATGGGAAGCCAGGACTGGAACCGGCGCCCATATTGGATGCTGGCGGTGCAGGTGGCAGCTTTACCTGCCACGCCACAATGTTGGCTCCCTGCTGTTATTTATTTATTTATTTTTGACAGGCAGAGTAGACAGTGAGAGAGAGAAACAGAGAGAAAGGTCTTCCTTTGCCATTGGTTCACCCTCCAATGGCTGCCGCGGCCGGCGCACTGCACTGATCCGAAGCCAGGAGCCAGGTGCTTCTCCTGGTCTCCCATGGGGTGCAGGGCCCAAGCACTTGGACCATCCTCCACTGCACTCCCGGGCCACAGCAGAGAGCTGGCCTGGAAGAGGGGTAACCGGGACAGAATCCGGCGCCCCAACCGGGACTAGAACCCAGTGTGCCGGCGCTGCAAGGCGGAGGATTAGCCTAGTGAGCCACGGCACCGGCCTATTTATTTATTTTTAAGATTGATTTATTTATTTGAAAGAGTTATAGTGAGAAAGGGAGAGAGAGAGAGAGAGAGAGATCTTCCATCCACCGGTTCACTCCCCAATTGGCTGCAATGGCCACAGCTGGGCCAGGCGGAAGCCAGGAGGCCAGTTTTTCTAGGTCTCCCACGTGGTTTCAGGGACCCAAGCACTTGCGTAGCTGGGACGCAGACACCCGGCCTTAATCAGTTATATGCTGCTTTCCCAGGAGGTCAGCAGGGAGCTGGGTCTTCCATCTGCTGGTTCACTCCCCAAATGGCTGCAACAGCCGGGGCTGTGCCAGGCCAAGGCCAGGAGCCAGGAGCTTCACGCGGGTCTCCCACGTGGGTGCAGGGGCCCAAGCACTTGAGCCATCTTCCATTGCCTTCCCAAGTGCATTAGCAGGGAGCTGGATCGGAAGTGGAGCAGCTGGGACTTGAACCAGCAGTTAGATGGGGTGCCGGCGTCACAGGTGGCCGCTAAGCCCACTGTGCCACATCCTCTGCATGTTTTTAATGTAGGTTATTTATAGCTTTTTTTTGGTAGGAATTCTTTGTGTCTTCAGTAGTAATTGTTTAACTGTTAAATGTATCATAACATTTTAAAGAGATACTTTCATGTATCTCTTTAATTGTCTATTTCCATAAAATACTTTGTCACACTTACTGTTTCCTTTATAGACCTGCAGTTTCCTGTCTTAGAGACGCCTACCCACTCCAGGACAACTATCGCCCTCAGGCTTCTTATCTCATAGCTGTGTATTTGAACTTGTAATCTTCCTGGACAGGATTTTTATGTTTTTTTTTTTTTTTTTTTTTTTTTTTTTTTTTTTTTTTTTTTTTGACAGGCAGAGCGGACAGTGAGAGAGACAGAGAGAAAGGTCTTCCTTTTGCCGTTGGTTCACCCTCCAATGGCCACCACGGCCAGCGCACTGCGCTGATCCGAAGCCAGGAGCCAGGTGCTTCTCCTGGTCTCCCATGGGGTGCAGGGCCCAAGCACTTGGGCCATCCTCCACTGCACTCCCTGGCCACAGCAGAGAGCTGGCCTGGAAGAGGGGCAACCGGGACAGAATCTGGCGCCCCGGCCGGGACTAGAACCCGGTGTGCCGGCGCCGCAAGGTGGAGGGTTAGCCTAGTGAGCCGCAGCGCCAGTGTGATTTTTATGTTTTGAGACAGGAAAGTGAATGCATTTATTTCTTCCAAATAGGAAGCCACGTTTTCCTCACAACAATTTATTTCTTTTAAAATATGTATTTATTTTAAAGGGCGGGGTAAGAGAGAGAAAGAGATCTTCCGACCGCTGGGGCTGGGTCAAGCCAACGCTTGGAGCCAGGAGCTCCATCCAGGTCTCCCACGTGGGTCAGGGACCCGAGCACTTGGGCATCTGCTGCTGCTTTCCCAGGCGCACGAGCAGGAGCTGGGTCAGCAGCAGAATAATCGAGATCCGGCCAGCACTCCGCTGTGGGTCGCAGCGTCACCAAGCTGGCCCCTTGCTGGCGCCGTGGTGCGGCCCCAGCGCCCTGTATGGGCGCCATTTCACGTCCCAGCTGCCTGCTTCCAATCCAGCTCCCTGCTTGTGGCCTGGGACGGCCGCAGAGGATGGATGGTCCCATCCGTTAGGCCCCTGCACCCACGTGGGAGAACCAGAAGCTCCTGGCTCCTGGCTTCAGATCAACTCAGCTCTGGCCATTGTGGC